CGTGAGGAGGGTCCAGCCAGGAAAGAGGGAAAACGGGACAAAGGAGAAAAGGGGAAACACCGTCCCCCCACATGGGATGTGAAGGGGAGAGAAAAGGAAGGAAATAGAAAAAAGAAGGACCAGGAGAGAGGAGAGGGAGAGAGAGAGAGAAATAGAGGCCAGAACGGCAGAGGTGAAGAGAGCAAGCGATTGCTAGAAGGGTGGGAAGGTTTCTGGATGGAGAAAGCATGGATTTTTTATCTGGGAGAGTATGATGATGGAAAGAGAAGAGGCAGGAAGGGGAAGGAACCATTGCCCAGCCAAGAAAACATTCTACTGGGACATATGGGAGAGAAGAGGATGGAGGCGAAAGAGAAGGGAAGAAGCGTTTACGCAAAGAGGAAAGGAGAAAAGAGGGAACGTAGAATGGAAGAACCTTCCTCCACACGGAGTGTGTGGAAATGCCTTCCCAGAGGAGATGATGGGAGGGGGAGAGCGGTGGACTGAGGAGACGCTGCCCCTTTTGCATCGGATGCCAAGGAAACCATACCCTCGAACACCAGCACTCTGCACATGTTCAAAGAAGACGTGTGGTGTCGTGGATGGAGTACCAGACTGGAAACCAGGAGACCTGGATCCAAATCCCTTCCGGGCCAGGGAAACGGAGAGGAGAGAGTGTGTGGAGAGGGGCAAGGCTCCTTAAGCCACCTCTTGAAATCTCACTGACCTTGCAAACGTTGGGAGGGATGTGGGATTTGGGTTCTTTCTTCTGGGTCCCCAAAACAGCAGAGAGAAATCACCTCCGTCTCACCCCTTCCTAGGAGAAAAGGAGGAAGGAAAACATCAGCCTGGAGGCTTTACGGATAAAGCAAATCAAAAACATTTCCTTCCAGGATGTGCCTTCCTCGTGTTTCTATTGAACGGGGCTACATCCCCATCTCCCTCTCCCGTCAGGCGTTCACTTCTGCATTGATTTCAAAGTTTCAAAGCCCTAAATGGTTAAGGACGTCGATACCTGGCAGAACGCCTCCTCCCACCTAGATCTACAGTGGGGTCTCTACTTAAGAACTTAATCCGTATTGGAAGGTGGTTCTCAAGTTGAAAAGTTCTTATGTTGAATCTGCATTTCCCATAGGAATGCATTGAAAACCTTGTATCACTTCTTCTAGCCAGGACGGGCGGTTGAGGATCCTAACGCCGAGGGAGGCCCGGAAGGAAAAAACAAGAAACTGGACCTTCTCACCAGTGGCTCCCCACCTTTGCTATCATTTCCCCTCCGAGATCTGTTTGGCCCCTTCGCTGGGCATTTTTAAAAGCCAACTTAAAACCTGGCTATTTAGGTAAGCCTTCCCTCTGGACACTAGTTAATTTGCCTTTTTATCTTCCATATTGAATGACTGTTTATTGTTGTGAAATTGTTATAAAACTGTTGCCATATTACGGTTATTTTTATTCTACTTGTTGTGTGCCGCCCAGAGTAAAGACATTGTCTAGATGGGCGGCATATAAGTCTAATAAATAAATAAATAAACTTCCCTCTGACACATGCAATGAAAGTAGCAGAATACAAGAGGGTAGGTCTCTCACTGTTGATTTAAAATATTTTTATCTTGCCTTTCAGATCGCTTACGTGCCTCAGAAAAAAGGAACATTTAAAAGTGAAAAACAGCAAGACTACAAACCTTACTATGATTCAAACCGAAGCTGCAATAAGGATGATAAATGAAATCAACATCGAGAAAACACCAGAGCCCCATGTGATGTAGTGGACCGGACCCTCTGTTGTCACGGGACCATCTGTAATTCGAATTGTGGTTCTTATTATTTTGGGATTATTTGTACATGCTATATCTAGACTTTTGCCTCTGTGTGTTGCCTAAACGAAGGGGAGCAGATTTAGATTTAGCATCGTTTCTATTGTCAGAATTTTAAAAAGGGGGGTAGCTATACCTGGATATAGCATGAATTAAGTTTTATTCCTGGTCTAGGGAGTAGCAAATTTTATTCTACATATTATGTTGTTAGACACATTCCTATTCTTTTGGTATTAAAATGAATCAAACCAAAACTACACTAAGGGTGGTAAACAAAATCAAGCTCTAATAAAACACCAGAGCCCCGTGCGATGGAGCAGACCGAGGGTTCTCACAGGACCCTTCGTTATTTTCGGTCCCTTCAAGGATCCCAACGCAGGGGGCATCTCAGCCTCCGTGCCCCCTCCATGGGCCAAGGGCCTTGTGTGTTGTGGGGCTGCACACCCAAGGCGGGCCGAGTTCAGGTCTCAGGACTTTTCTCGCTTGCTATCTTCCAACCCCCAAACTCGCTTAGGCTTCGATCTTCCCTTGGGAGCTCACCCCAAACATCTCAGGGGCTTGGAGGGGCGGCAACTGAGGGTGTGTGGGTGGGTCATGATGTCTGGGATGCCCCTGCTGGAAAGCAAAGCGTTTTGTGATTCCCTTGATCTGGAACGGACCCTTCAGAGCCATTCACTCTGCAAAAGACCTGCCGGGAGAGGGAACACTCCAGAAGCAGAGGGCCTGGGTTGCCTTTTCTGGTCCTTCTCTCCACATGGAAAGACCGGAGCTTTTCTTGGCCTCTTTCTAAAGGCCCTTTTTGCTCCACCTTTTAAGGAGAAGCAGGAGGGCGAATCCCTAGGAGGAAGAAGGAGGATCCAGGGGGCAGGTCTTTTGCACAGCCGACGGCCCTGAATTGCACCTTCAGACCAGACCCGTTTTGGCCCTGTGAGAAGAAGGACGTCCAAGGGGAGACCCTTTCCTGGGCAGAAATTGATCTCTCTTTCAGTCTCTTCCCCCCCCCCATACGAAAGATCCTGTGGAGGAAAGTCCACCCCCTTCTCTCTCTCTCTCTCTCTCCCTCCCAAGCAATTGGGGGATGACGGAGAAGAGTCTTTCCCGGGGGGTCTCAACCTCCCTCTGAATATCCCCCCCCCAGTAAAGGAGGAGAGCTTGCAAGGGAGGGGGGGAGAAGAAAGCAGAAAGCCCTCCCCTTGCAAGCCAGAGCCTGCCGTGCAAACCGAGGAAGAATCTGGTTTGCGATCCGGATTGCCCGGAGGAGACCCCCCTCCCCTCTCCTTGGGGAGTCCCTTATTCGGCTCTCCCCCCCCCCCCGCCGCCGCCCCCCCAAGGAGGGTCCGAGCCGGAGTGAAGCAAGCGGGAAACTCACGAGAGGAGCCCTCCTTCTTTGGAAGAGCGTCCGCCTGAAACCATAGAGGTGGCGGGGGAAAGAGGGGCCAGGAGATTCCCACTTCCGATTCCTTATTGGAAAGCGCCGCGGGGCGGGGGAAGAGTGGGCGGAGGGAGGGTGAAAAGGGCAGGGGCTGTGCGGGCAGGAGGGTGATCACGTGACCCTCGCTCGTTTCTACAACCCGACTCGGAGGAGAGAAGAGGGGACGGAACCTAGAGCTACGAGAGTGAAGAGAGATGCACCCCTCGTCAGAGATCCTTCTAGAGAGTCAATCATCTTCCCCCTGACAAGAAGATCGGGGGGGGTGAAGGGGGCTGTCCTCTTCCTTATAACCCCCCCAAGACAACTCCCCCTTTCCTTTCAGCAGGGTTCCTCCCCTCCCTTCCGCACCCCCTCCATTCATGAATCCGTTTGGGTTGGAGGGGGCAACTTAGAGCTACGAAAAAAGAGGAGAGAAGGAGCTCCTCCCCTTTTTTTCGCCTTTCTCCAAAACGGCACTTTCTCTGCCTCGGCCCCCCTTTTCTGCTCCCCTGTCCCCCCCACCTTCCTCTTCCTCCCCTTCCCCCAGGGAATCGCAGCTTTTTTGGGGAAACCCAGGACCAAGAGGGAGAATCGGTCAGAGTTTTCTTTTTATCTTATCTATCTATCTATCTATCTAGAGAGAGGGGGGGGGTCCTCACCAAGGCATCTGCCACTGTGTTAGTTTCAATGTTAGTCAAGGGAATGGCTTCAGGGTACCTCGTGGCATGGTCCACAATGGTGAGAATGAACCTGTTCCCCCTCTTTGTGGCCTTGGGCAAAGGTCCCACAATATCCACCCCTAT